TTCGTTTCAAAGTGGGTGAATACTCGCTGAGATATTTACATTAGAAACAACTGAGTCGTAAAATGTCACTGTTGTCACTTGTCGACCAGGCTATGTGCCCATCATCTAAAATTCGCTGTAAATTTGTTACCCTTCTCTTTCCATTGCCATCTTTTTCATGGGCGAAACTAGCCCCTTTTAATTAGGGGGTGTCAGGCAGAATTGCCCTGCCAAAAACAATGATGCCCTGCGGCATGCAGCGCCAGCGCTAAGCTACGTGTACAATTGAACTGCCGATGCCAATGTATACATGCAAACGAACTATTTATGGTTAGCTGGCAGTAATAAGTTACTTAATAACTCTAATTTCTTGTTATACGTTTGCCATCGATGTTTTTTGTGTTCTACTTCTATAATGTGTCAATAAAATATTAAAATCTTAATCTCGTTTCATTAATTAGACACTGTAGCAAGGTAAGACGTTTGAATATATTGAAAAGTTATTGATTTTAATTATTGAAGTTAAAAATCGTCAGAATTTGCATGAAAAGATTATCAATATATAACTTGTATGCGCGAAATCTAGATCATGCATGCATGAAAATCTAAAGTTCGCATTGCTTTCAGTTTTTTCGCATGCAATAATTTAAAGCTTATTGAGAAAATTCTTTAACCACATCAGTTTACCCACTTCGGATCCGTATTTTAGGTTTCGTTTTGTACCTTTGAATGTTTTGTAAGACTTTCAGACAATTTTTGTTTAAAACCCGGCTCTCGACGCAGCTTCGTACGTAGGGCAATGAACATTCCTTGTGCAATACGGGGAAATCCTGACTCATCATGCAGCAGCGAATCAAATTGCGCAATTCACCAAAACAAATACTTGTCAAACAATATAATGTGTTTGCTATACACGAGTAGACAAAAGTGGCTGAAAACGTAATTTTACTATAAACTATGAACAGAATAAATGAATATAGAACTTCTTTGGGCGAGATCTAGATTATGCGTGCATGAAAATCTAAAGTTCGCATTGCTTTCAGTTTTTTTCGCATGCATGCAGTAATTTCATGTTTAAAGCTAGATCTTTTAAAGCGGAATTAGCAAGTGAATAAATAATTTACAGGCAATATTCATTCACCTGTCGTTAATGAGAAGGCGATATTCATTCACCTGTCGTTAATGAGAATTTTTTGTATTCTTGCGCCAACTTAGCACTTTGTGTGTTCAGTTTTCTTGTAGATTTTTGTAAAACGTTATATGAGTGCTGAAATTTTTGTTGAATTTAATTCTCTTTGAATCACCTTGCGTAAAATCAAAGAAAATGCATACCAAAAGGACTGCTATGTTCCAGCGGATCATCGATTGTTTAGAATAAAAGAGTGGTTTCCATACTGCATGGCGAAATAGAGCTACAGATTCTGAAGGAAGCTAAGTCCCGAAATTTGGTAAGCTTTTCTTTAATTTCAATTGAACCAGTTTAAAATTCTTCAATCATTCTTAATAAAATACTTGATATCTTTGATTCCATCTCGTGGCTTCGAACAGGACATGTGAGAGCTATAAAGAAATGTGTAATGTTTTGGCAACACGAATGTCACGCCAACATGTTTCAGCCGATAAAGACTGTTGAAACAGTTGTTGCTTATCCAACGAAAATGAAACTGCATATATTCCGCAACTTTCGATTGGAAATGAAAAATCTGTCGGTACATTTAAATTAACGACTACTTTATTATATTCGTGCGCCCATAGATAACACTCAGTCTGGTGTTATGTCTGTTTCGAATTAAGTCCTTTTATTCCTCTGAGCTACATGCATCAAGAAGATTAAAAGGGCAATTCGATTTTGAGCGATATTCCAGTGACTTTGTCTTCTAAGTTAATTTTTCAGGAAGAACCTTGGTAAATAGTGAAGTGTTTTATCTTTTTATAAATTAAGCTAACTTCGACTCAAACCAAGGATATATTTTTACCTCCGACAGCTGCAGTGTTAAGAATACATATAGCTACTTATGGCGCTGTGAGTATTATATGAATTTACATTGACCTTGCGGATATCCATTGATGATGATGAATACATCTTAAAAATTGCCTTATTATTAATGGCGTTGTTGCAAGGAAATTGAATAACTAAAACTACCTAATTTCCTTAATCATTTAATTAAAATGTTAATTGCATTCACTCATTGCTCGTGCCGAACAGAAAATTACCCCATACATCAAAATTAATCGCATGTAGGACACATGTTTGATACTTCCCTACAGACCGAACGATTTACTGTATATTTATTTCATTTCAACGCATGAGTATAATAAGTCGAACAGGGTACAGTATCTGCAAAAAGTACTCTTCACTAGCGTGGTTCCCTCGGATACACGACAGTTTGGTCATTGTTGCACATTAGATCTCAAGAAAAGTCACAATTATAACCAACTTGCTCCCTTTTACTTAAGAAAGCGGTTCAAAACATTGCAGATATCCTGACATCGGCTCGGCATCTGGAATATCATTTTTTTAAGTTATAACCAAAGCCAAATTTTAATATTGATTTTTGACGTTTTGTTAAATTTTTAAAAAAGTATAAATATAATTTTTTAAGAATAAAGTAAAATATCATTATTAATAGCAACGTTATCTTTCAGGCAATGTTTTAGAACTTAACGGAAGAGATTTTCAAAATGATCGTTAATTCAAAAAACAAATTGTATGCTTTATTCTCAACACGCTGTTATCATGGGAACGCGCTTAGTAGCATATATTGTAATGTTTAGGAACGCATTGTCAATTCTTCATATAAATTTTGTCTTCCTATCACATAAAATTAAGAAACAGCAGTCTCCTGAATATTATAGTGTAGTAGTAATGCAACAACCATAGTTAACTTTATTAACAATATTTTTGTTTCAGGCGTCGTCAAATTGCTCCTGGTTATCTATACTAACAGTTAAATATACAGTACTTCGCGCGTTTGAAACAAAATATCTTCATAAGGTATTTTTTTTAATTTCCCTGTACATTTTCGACTTATATGCCGACAAAAGCTTATTGAGAAAATTCTTTACTTAAATTAACCACAGAGGTCTGCCCACTTCCGTATTTTAGGTTTAGTTTTGTGCCTTTGAATGTTTTGTAAGGCTTTTAGACAATTTGTGTTTAAACGCGGCTCTCGTTGCAGCTTCGTACACGTAGGGCAATGAACATCCCGTGGGCAATACGGGAAAATGCTGGCTCGTCAGAAGCGAATCAATTTGCGCGCGCGATTCGCCAAAACAAATACTTGCCATACAATATAATGTTTTTGCTGCTATACACGAGTAGACAAATATGGGTGAAAACGTAACTTTACTAAACTATGAACAGAATAAATAAATATATATCTTGTATATGCGCCAGCTCTAGATCATGCGTGCTTGACAATCTAAACATCGCATTGCTTTCAGTTTTTTTCGCATGCATGCAGTAATTTCATGTTTAAAGATCTTTTAAAGCGGAAATAAAATATACTTTCTGAAATACTATAGCCTAATAATATTTTGTGTTCTCGTTTAAAATTGTCCTTTCTACTGTCCATGATTAGCATGTGAATAAATAATTTACAGGCAATAGGCCAAGACGATATTCATTCACCTGTCGAAAATGAGAATTTCTTATTCTCGCGCCAACTGAGCACTTTGTGTGTTCAGTTTTCTTATAAGTTTTTGTAAAACGTGGTATGAGTGCTGAAATTTTTGTTGAATTCAATTATATTTAAATCATCTTGCGTAAAACCAAAGAAAATGCGTACCAAAATGACTGCTATGTTCCAGCGGATCATCGATTGTTTAGAATAAAAGAGTGGTTGCCATACTGCATGGCGAAATAGTGCTACAGATTCTGAAGGAGGTTCCGAAATCTGGTAAGCTTTTCTTAATTTCTATTGAACCAGTCGTGGCTTCAAACAGGACATGTGTGAGCAATAAAGGAGTGTGTAATATTTGGCAACACGAATGTCACGCGAACATGTTTCAGCCGATAAAGACTGTTGAAACCGTTGTTGCTTACCCAATGAATGTGAAACTGCATATATTCCACAACTCTTGATTGGAAATGAGAAATCTGTCAGTACATTATAAATTAACAGCTATATATTTTATTATATTCATGCGCGGCGGCATAGGTAACACTGGTGTTGTCAAAAAAGTCTCTGCCTTAAAATAAAATTTTACATTTCCATTTGTGATCTACTAAATACGCCGTTAAGTCATTTCGTTCCTCTGAGCTACATCAAGAAGATTAATAATGGCACTTCTATTTTGAGCGAAATTTTAGTGACTTTGTCTCAAGAATATTTTTACCTCCGACAGCTGCAGTGTCTAGGATACATACATGTAGCTAATCTAAATTTTGACTTCTTCGTTGGCACTTTGGCTTTGTCGGGCCTATTTAGTTAAAAATTAAATTATCTTAGCGCTGTGAGTATTACATGTATTTACGCCGACTAGATATCGACCCCTTTCGCAAAAACAGGTAACTTTTGCAAGGGTGACGAATTGATCATAAAAATTGCCTTATTATAAATGGCGTTGTTGCAAAGAAATTGAATAACTAAAACTACCTAAATTCCTTAATCATTTCAAATGTTAATTACATTCACACATTGCTCTTGCCGAACAGAAAAATTATCTCATACATCGCATGTAAGACCTAGTGGGTTTGATACTCTCACGTGCAGCCATGCAGAACGAATGATGTCAGTAATTTATTTTCATGAGCGACTGATACGATTTATATTTATTTCATGTCAACGTATATGGGTAATAATTTGAACATTTTATGTGCCAAAAGTACCTTCTTACTTGTGTGTTTCCTTAATGTTGTCCACCAAATGTATCCAGAGGAGACTTTCGCATGCATCTGAAAACATGGCGGACATGAAATTTGTTGTTCTTGTAAAATTGATAATATTTTAGTGAATATTATCGGAGTTTTTCTATTTTTGATAGTATTTCTTGTGTATAGTACGTTATCGTGATTTCCAATGCCAGAATATTTAACAGCAGATCAATTAAAACAAATACTGGATGAGAAACTGGACCAGAAGTTAATACCGTTGAATTTGAAAGTTTCTGAACTCAGTTCCATACTCGATGATGCAATGAACTTCATGGACTTCATTAATCTGGCTAACTATAAGTATGAAGAAGTAATTACGAAACTTAAATCTCGTGAAATAGAGAGAATTGAGATCCAGGAAGAAAACAAGATTTTAAAGAGGGCCTTACAACAAATTGAAAGCCAACTACTTCAATTAAAAAACTCATATTTTGACCTTGAGAAATATACTCTCGCAAGAGAGTGTGTGGAAATTCAAGATATACCAGCCCCCTGATCGTCCAACTAAGGAATCAACTAACGATATTGTAATGAAAATTGCAAGCAAACTTATGGATATTGATATAACCAAGTCCCACGATGGATATGTCTGTGATCCATCGTTTACCTAGCTGTGAATAAAGGATAAAAGGGGAAGAGACTAGAACCTGCAATTATCGTAAAATGTGTTCGTCGAGATACTAAAGTGACATTTAATCGAGCTAGAAGCAAGCTAAAGAACAAAACAACTCGTGATCTTGGATATCAAGCTGCAAATGGCATATATATCAATGAAAGCATGTTATACTTATCGTATTTTAATATCAAACATTAACAAGCAAAACATTAAACCTAAAATATAAACTAAAGTTCGTGTAAAATTCTCTTTTCGTATAAAGTTCTTCGTAAACATGTGTTCTCTCGGTTGGGCCTGGGCCCTACTTAAGGTAGCTCGCATACTATTATAAACTAGACTTCTTTACAGTCCCCCGGTTGATCACCGTCGGTGAGCAAACATGCATAACAAATATGAACTTCAACTAAATATACTAATAAGTACTTATCTCCATCGATACTTCCTTCGAATTAGTTCTGCGTTAACAGCTGCTATACGTCTTGGTCGAGTGTTATATTGTCTCTGAACTTCGCTCGTATCTTGAACTTCGCCCGTATCTTGAACTTCGCCTGTGTCTTGAACTTCGCCTGTGTCTTGACTAACTACGCTCGAATCTTGTACTTCGATTGTGTCTTGAACTTCGCTCGAATCTTGTACTTTGCTTGTGTCTTGAATTTCGCTCGCATCCTGTACTTCGCTCGTATCTTGAATTTCGATCGTATCTTGAACTTCGCTTGTATCTTGAACTTCGCTTGAATCTTGTAATTCGCTTGTGTCTTGAACTTCGCTCGAATCTTGTACTTAGCGTGTGCCTTGAATTCCGCTCGTATCTTGAACTTCTAGAGGAATCAGATGCTGAATAGGCCTTCGTAATACCACGGTCTTCTTATTGTCATTGCTCAAAACTCGGACTTCGGCGGAGCGAATAACTTCATCCTTATTTCGAAGAAGATTTTCTACCTTTTGCTAACTTCCAATAGATACGAGATGTATTTTCGTTCTTGAGAATGACAATATCACCTGCCTTTAGAACGTTAGAACTGTTGTTCTGTACTCTTGATGATTCTCGGATGCTTAACAGATATTCTTTTCTCCATTGATCTGTAATGTTCTTAAGAAATCTAGCTTGGTACTTGGCACGTTAAGACAGTGATTTGTTCGTACTTACAATCTCGTAATGACTTTCGTTTGGAGTCGCTGCGATTCGATATCCATAAATCAAACTCGCTGGTATAAGAGGATAGGATACATCTTGCTCGTCGTCGTATACATAGGTGAATGGACGATTGTTTAAAGTTGCTTCGATTTCTACAAGAATAGTTTCCAGTTCTTCGAATGTCAACGAGGTTCGTCCAATCTGTTTTTTCAAACAGCGTTTGGTGCTTTTGATTAACCGTTCCCAAAAGCCGCCATGTCTTGGAGCCTTTTCAGTTATGGATTCCCACGAAACACCTTTGTTCGCGAGATAGCGCTTTACACTTCCTTTGCAGTGGCTTTGAAAGTTTTCGCATTGTCAGTTACTATTTTTCTTGGCATCCCTCTTCTGCTGACGAAACGCCAAAAGGCTGCCAAAAACATGTTCGTTGAGAAATCTTTCAATAGTTCTAAGTGTACGGCCCTTGTAGACGCACACGTGAACAAATAAACGTAGGATTTTAGAGTTTCACCGTTTTCATTTACGAACAATGGCCCAGCATAATCAATGCCAATGTTTGTAAAAGGCGGTTCATCGCTTACTCGACAGCTGGGTAATGATGGCTCTCGTTGACTCTGAAACGCCTTTCCTTCAATCTTCTTACATATAACACGTACACCTTTTCAAAACACGTTTAACTGCTTCTCTTCCTCTTAATACCCAATACGTCACTCGTACGCCATTAAGAGTTGACTTAATACCGTTATGATGAATTCGTTTATGTTCCTCTTCGATTTTTAGCTGCGTAAAGCGGTGCTTAGCCGGTAAAAGGATTGGTTCTTTGGTTTCTGTCGATATCGTTGAATATTTAAGTCGTTCCTTGCATCGAATTATCTTGTCCACATCGAGGAAAATATTCAATTTATACGATACGAATACTCTAGGCACACGCTGAATACCCTAGAGGTACGCCAGATGTACCTTACTCATACGCTGGCATTTCAAAGGAATTCTGTGCGTATGAAAATGATTTCATTTATTTTCAGACGCTTATCATACGTTCCTCTCATACGCAACAGTGTGACAGGGCCTTAAGGTTACTTGAGTTAGTGTTCCACTTTCGTAGATTAAATAATCCCTTTTGCATGATCAACTTCGCATTCGATGTTACTTCAGATGCTTCTTTCTCGTCGTCTGCACCTGACACAAAATCGTCAACATAGAGGGATTTCTTTAGCAGTTCGATCAGTTGAGGGTCAAAATCTTTCTGCGTTTCCAAGTGGTGTCGGATGGTTGAGCTTAAAATCGCGGGTGAAGGTCGAAGGCCAAATACTAGGCGGGTAAATCGAAATTGTACAAGTTCTGAATTCGGATCGTTTGGGTCTTTTAGCCATAAGAAACGTAACATATCCTTATTATGTTGTTAATTGCCACCATAAGGAAAGCTTTCTCTATATCTGCAGTTATGCCAATTCTATGCCATCTAAACTTGACGAGTGTGTCAAACAATTGAGGGATAAACTTAGGGCTTGTCTCTAGACAATCGTTCAATGAGTACTCACGGTCTGGTGGCTTAGCTGACCCATCATAAACGATTCTAAGCTTTGTTGTTTCGCGATCTCTTCGTACCACTCCATGATGAGGCAAATAATGAACAGATTCATTATCAGTGTTTTCAATTTCTCCGTCTGGAACCTTTTCCACGATTCCATCTTGTATCTGCTGTTGCATAATTTGATTATACTCCTGTAATAATTCTTGTTGATGCAACATCTTGCGATGTAGAGATCTGAGACGTTTTTCACACAACTGGTAATCACTCGGTATAGAAGGGCAATCTTGTTTCCATGGTAACTCAACTTCATATCGTGTTCCGTTGAAATGTATACTCTCGGTGAACGACTCGATAAATTCTTTAGGCTCTGGATCACCTTTGATCCCAATCGATGCTGTCTCCCATAATGTTTTCAACACATCAACTAGTGGATCGTGTGTTGTTTCAGAATGGTTGTCACTACTCCCCGATGCTGCCAGATTTGTTGTGCACGTTTCATTGCACAACCCATTGTTGGTCGGTCCAGATAGAAGCCAGCCAAACTTGCTATCAATTGCAACCGGGCCAAATTCTCCTCGAACTGTATCACCTTCAATAAGGTCCCAATAATGGTAGGAACCAATAAGAAATCAATAGAATCGTTAGAATCGGAACTGTCTGATTCTAACGATTGTAGCATTTGTAAATGGGGATACTGATCCACTTCGATCTTTGTAGATAAAGGAGAGCAAATGAATGGAAAGCTTAGGGCAGAAATCATAACATCTTCGTTTTTGTTGCTTCGGAGTGACAATGGCGATACTTAACATTTCTGCTTTGAATAACTTCGTTCACCAAAGGTGTTGAAGTGAAGTGTTTCGGTCTTCTTGGCTTTTATGTTCAGTCCTGGTTATCTGCTAACAGGAAAATTTTCAGTACTTCGCTTACATATATTCCTCACAGAACCACAAAAAGCTGTTAATGAGGTCCTGGTACTGAAAACAGCAATTACATTTATCACCTGCTTACTAAAATTTCGCTGTTTTCAGAACAGCTGTGTCCTCCTGGCGAATATTAGTTGATGCTGTAGAACCTTGCCAGAAAAAAAGGAATTAATTTTACTTTGGTAAGTTTGGTACCAAACATCCTATGGGGAGAAGGTATTTGTATAATTGAACACAACATTTTTCACATGTTGAATGTTAAAACGCAGGTTTGTACAGTCAGCTTTGCTGAAGCTCGTCTGGCTCCTTGCGTTCCGCCAGTAAGCACGTGTGAAGGCAAACGGTAGATGATACATTTAAACGTAATGTTTCATTCTTATTTTACTAACTGTATGTGAAACTATGCGTACGTGTGTGTTTGTTAGGCATATTTAGTGAATATATATATATATATATATATATATATATATATATATATATATATATATATATATATATATATATATATATATATATATATAAAGCAAAAGATATGTATATAAACTTAGGGCATTTTCATTAACTATATTATTCGTATATTAAGCACATCTCTTCAAGTTTTCTTCATGTTGTTTCAGCAGCGCACAAGGTGTTATTGAAATATTTTCTACCTGCTCATGTCTTGAATAAGCAATTTTAACTTGAGTTTTTTTTAATGTAGCTTAAGACCGTTCTTGAACAAAATTTATTTGCACTAACATTCAAAATTTTAGACAAATTGACATACACGGAAGGCAAAAAATCCTCACCATTATTCGGTGAACTACAATCCTTTCCATTATTCGATGATAAAATTGTTTTAGCACATCTCGAATGCATTCACAATGTCTATGTAAAAGGTTTACAAATGTTGGAAAGACAAACCTTTTTCCATAGAAATTGTGAATGCATTCGAGATGTGCTAAAACAATTTTATCATCGAATAATGGAGAGAATTATTTTTGTCCAAGAACGGTCTTGGGCTACATTAAAAAAAAAACTCAAGTTAAAATTGCTTATTCAAGACATGAACAGGTAGAAAATATTTGAATAACACCTTGTGTGCTGCTGAAACAACATGAAGAAAACTTGAAGAGATGTGCTTAATATACGAATAATATAGTTAATGAAAATTCCCTAAGTGTATATACATACCTTTTGCTTTAGATAAAATAAATATAAATGGGAGAAACATTTAGTTTAGTTGAGTTTTCGTTAATATTCATGCAGTGCGGAAAACTAATAAACTGTTCCACTTTTTTGTAGACAGGTTGATTTTAATATATTTTCTCCCGCAATGTTTGTTATTAATAATTATGGTGGAACATTGCCTACAACAGATCCTAAAGAAGTGAACACTTTTCAAAAAATATATAACTAATTCTCCTTTTGTATGCTGCAATAAAATTATGCATGTACAGACTTAATAGTTCTTGTTATTAACAGGTGTCCACCGTGAGAAACTGCTTGTCTTTGCCCCCTCCCTTTTCCTGTTCATTATTATTTCTTCTCAATATAAACACGACGATAATTGGAATATATATCTTGTAAATTTATTTGCTTTCCGTAGACAAAAGTGCATGGTCGTTGGTTGTGACTTATTATTATTCTTTTGAAAATCTTTTCCATAATTTTAATCTGTTTTATCGTTTGAACAATTAACGGTCGGGAATGGCATTTGTAATGTTTAAAGTACGTGTATGAGTGCTTTATCATATTTAAAATAGCAACACGAGCATTTTCAGTAGCGTAGCCACCCGACTATTTGGTCCCGCTATGCAAATATTTTCATGTTCATTGACTGTGAAAACAATCAATTTCTAAAGAAATGAATAATGATAATAATTTTGAATTTGCATAGCGGGACTAAATTGTCGGGATGGCTACGCCACTGAGCATTTTAGATATGATAAAATACAACTATTCGTGCAAGTGTTTGGAATATTTTCAACCACGACTTCAATAGATGCCGTCTCATTATAATATTATTTAAAATATAAAGAATCCTAATTAGGATGGATTTAATTTAAATAAAAAATATTAATGAAGATGAGTGTTATCAGGTATAAAGCCTCTTCACGTGATATATTTTGACATAATTTGCCAATAAACTTATAAGTTATTAATAATTGTTTGAAAATCTAATTTTACTTCAGTGCTTTGAAAAAGCCGTTCATGCAACAGCGTAATGAAAACCTGTTGAAAATCTTATTGATGCAGACAGCAATTTAAGCGCGCAATGGAAAAGTTCTTATCCTTGGAAATGTTTTACAAAATGTTGGGTAGAATAGTAAGCTTCTTTGTATTAAAACTTGCCCAAGTTGCATATTTATATCTATTTTACAAGTAAAATAGTAGCGATTCATCATATATAGCAGCCCATTACACGAGACCTGGGAGCAGTTCGTAATGCTATTTATAGCTACTGCTCAGGAAATATCAAAGTGCTGCATTTTGCCGATCGTTTACTTTGCCAAAAATAGAAAATTCTTTGATAATACTGCAATGACGCAATTCCCCCAATCCATATAAAACTATTCATTTTTTACATTTCAGAATAAACTCATATCCAAAGTCTGCTTAACAGCCGTACTTGATAATTTGGCGAACAACCATGTATCGGCCGAAACATCATTTGGTATTTCCATACATTCTGTGGATATTTCTGGTGACTAGACAAGTTCAAGCAACTGTTGATATTTGTTACAACTCAACTCTTGAAGGTAGGAATCTAAAATGTTTTGAAATGGTACTGGTGATTTCGACAAGATTTGTTTTTACATGTTCGAAAAGACTTGAATAAACGGGCACGAAAATATACGTATAAGTCTCTCAGTCCTAACTTTGGGTAGAATATAATTGAGCTTGCGCTCTTTCAAACACGCACCTTGTCTTCTTCAGTGGTAATAGCTCGTTTAATGGATTATCAGGGTTACTTCAAATTTTATTCCATATTGCAATTGTTGATTTCGTTCATTAATAACATATTTACCAATGTTAATTGTGATCTCGATTTGTGATCTCGTTCATTAACAACATCACTAATTTTCTAGGGTCTATCATCGTGTTTATGAGTTTTCCACACATCTCTTCCCCACAATCATTTCAGGTTTTAAAATCTGTACGTGGGTGCATTGTGGGCGGAATAAGCGTAATCGACCTCGATATGACAAACCTCTACATCAGTTCCAGGAAAAAGCACCCACAGAAAATGTTGTATAATCTATAGGCTCTTTTGGTTCGATAACTAGTATACCGAAACCTATATGCGCGGAGAAGTAAACTGCATACCTGTTCCAGGTACTTATTTTTTATGCACATCCCCACAACACAATATTAAAACACGGTATTGGCATAATAATCCTATTCAAAAGCAAGTGAAAATCATCTGTATAGCATACGCATAAAATACGAAACAAGTATAATTCCAAAGGTCGATCGATACCATTTTTATATTTATCTACGTTTCGACTATATTTCATCAGGATAAACTAGCTAGGTTATACACCACTAATGAATCAATTACTATTTTAGTCTCCGAGCCAACGGCGCGAAACGCCGTGCAAGGGTACTAATTCCGCCCGGCTATTTACCTCCGAGGAAAAGAAAGCATTAGCAAAGTCTAAAGTTCGTCAATTATCGCGGCCGTGGGTGACTGTGGTGTTTTGTAGTTTATATTTCGATAGAACAACACGAACAAGTATATTATAGTTCACTCTTAAGTAAAGAACAACAACGTGGTGTGATCCAACGTCACATCCGGTTTACGTCATTAAACTTCATAAAGTACTCAACATTCCTCCTCTGTAGTCATTAAAATGTCAGTCCAAAATATCAAGAGTTTCTAAATACTCATTTTCTAACAATAAATAGTTCTATCGTTCGGTTGTCATTCAAAACGATCGGGTGGTTTTTGATTTCCTGTGGGATAACGCCGAACACTTTCGTTTTCGAACTCCAGTACTGGACCGCCCATATCTTCTTGTAAAGGTACGTCTTGCCCAACTGTGTCGTGAAGATCAGGTTGATCCAGGAGAGGGACCCCGAGTTCAGAATTCGTCATTGCACGTGCTTGCTAAAAGTTATAATAATAATTTCATCTTCCAATTCTACCTTAACTGATACTGGCCCAGTTTCCTCAACGATGATTCCAGGCATCCATTTGCCGTTCCCGCTGTAGTTTCGTGCATATTGTGCCATTGTCAGAGACGATTACTTGTGGGATACCGTGTGTTGCAAACGTAACTCGGAGTTTTGTAATAGTAGTTTCGGTTGTTGCAGTGTTAACATAATGTACATCCAACCATTTTGAATGGGCATCGATAATGAGGAGAAACATTTTACCCATGAACGGACTTGCATAGTTAATGTCGATTCGGGCCATGGACGACTGGGCCATTCCCAGGGGTGTAAAGGCGCTGGTGCTGGCATTTTCTTCATTAGGGCTGTCTTCGCTCGAACTTCCCTGTCCCTGTTCAGAAAGGTGATTCTTTGGTTTTCCTTTCGGTGGTTGTTTCCTTTTTGCTTTGCTTCGACAAGCCCTAGATATATGACCAATTTCCCCACTTGCATGGCAGTTAGATTCCTTAAAACGGCATTTAGTGGGGTTGTGGTTCCCATCACTACGACTGCATCTATAACCAGTGTTTTGTTCCTTGGGAACTCGAACTATTTCGTCTAGTTTATTCATGCCATTCGCCCCTGGAAAATTATTCTTTCGTTCGATCTAATGTTTCCATTCTTCATGCTTGCGATTAAATTCCTTGATTTTTCCAAAGGTTATCATGCTGTAATTTCGTTCGATTTTCAATCAATCAAGATCGTTTGTTCGCTTAAAAAGATTCATAACTTCTTTGGCCGAAATAAAAAGATTCTCCTCGCAGGGATGCCGGAAGATCGATAATAGCGGGCGCGGATATTCATATATTCGTGTTCACAGAATGTAAAAACAATCGATTTCAAAAGAAATTAATTGGGCAGAACGCGAATATATGAATATCTGCACCCGCTATTATCGATCTTCCGGCATCCCTGTCTCCTCGTCGCCAATGAAGTGTTTTGTAGTTTATATCGCGATAAAACAATACGAACAAGTATATTACAGTTCACTCTTCAGTAAAGAACAACAACGTGCTGTGATCCAACGTCAACTCCTGTTTCTGTCACTAAAGTTCCTAAAGTACTCAACAGTGACCAACGATGGGTGGTCATCGCTGGAATGGCTTAGGATGGAATATTATTAACTGCCAACATTATATTACAAAGAGTGGAAACAAAAAGATGCATTCAACAGGCATAGGCGTCAAAAGATCGATAAGTGGGGGGACCATATTCATATATTCGTGTTCTGTATTATTAATTTCTTTTAAAATCGATTGTTTTTAAGGTCTGTGAACACGAATATATTAATATGCCCCCCCCCCCCACTTATCGATGTTTTGGCACCTATGTCAACAGAGATACAGTACTGTCCAGAAATAACCTAACAGTGCGGTTGCGGTTAGGTCGCGGTTAGGTTGAGGTTAGGTCGCGGTTAGGTCGCGGTTAGGTCGCGGTTAGGTCGCGGTTAGGTCGCGGTTAGGTCGCGGTTAGGTTGAGGTTAGGTTGAGGTTAGGTCGCGGTTAGGTTAAGGTTAGGTTGAGGTTAGGTTGAGGTTCGGTCGCGGTTCGGTCGCGGTTCGGTCGCGGTTAGGTTGAGGTTAGGTTGAGGTTAGGTTGGTTAGGGGGGACCATATTCATATATTCGTGTTCTGTATTATTAATTTCTTTTAAAATCGATTGTTTTTAAGGTCTGTGAACACGAATATATTAATATGCCCCCCCCCCCCACTTATCGATGTTTTGGCACCTATGTCAACAGAGATACAGTACTGTCCAGAAATAACCTAACAGTGCGGTTGCGGTTAGGTCGCGGTTAGGTTGAGGTTAGGTCGCGGTTAGGTCGCGGTTAGGTCGCGGTTAGGTCGCGGTTAGGTCGCGGTTAGGTCGCGGTTAGGTTGAGGTTAGGTCGCGGTTAGGTTGAGGTTAGGTTGACGTTAGGTTGAGGTTCGGTCGCGGTTAGGTTGAGGTTAGGTTGAGGTTCGGTCGAGTTTGACCGATTTAAACCGCAAATTATAAATGTTTTACTAATGCCGTAATGGCAAATTGGCAATACCTTGACTGCATGTGCAGAATTGGCGGGTACATGAGTTTATAAACTGTAACTATAGGTCTTCAAAAGATGTGAGCGGATCTCGGATTGTAAACTCTTCGAAAATGCTGTTTTTAAACTAAAATAAGCCTGTAATTAAACCTTTCAATAAACCGGAACATAATTAAGCCTCGTGAAATAAATTAATAAACATAATTGAAAGTCACTACCTCTATATATTACGTATATATTATACTGTAGATATAGATATAGGATTTCCGTGATTTGCCAATCGTAATTAATTAAACTGCTATTAAATGTAGAAAAAATGCGGAATTATATTCGATATTGTATTCGATATAGGCCTGCGGTAGTAAATCCGGCTAAAGCGCAGTGATTTTAATTCTAGCAATCTGATAATTCCGATTTTACTAATCTCTAGTTTTGTAGCGAAAAGCATATATATACACGCGGTAGTAAATCTATTAAAGAGTAATTAAAGGTCAGTGATTTTGATTCTATACTTTTATACAAGACTATAGTAATCTGGTTCTACTATCAAATACCATGCAATTAGATTACCCATGTAGTTGTCGTGTAGCTGCATGAAGACATTCTATGACTGAGTCATACAGACTACTGGGTAGTAGATCTAAAAGCGCATTGATTTTAGCAAGCATTATTAATTGCACCGTTCAAATATATTACATTCAGTCGCGCGCTGCCACTGGATGATTAGAAAACGTTTGTGGAAAAACATTGGACCAAATGAAAAATGAGCGATAATAATGACTAACAGTAACAATGGGTTTGAATATCAGGTATGCTAATGTATAAGTGTCAGAGCTTGAGCATCTGATGAGTCATCGACTTCGCGTTTTCAGCCAATTTATATGTTTCACTAAGCCTCAGTCAAATGTGGTTTAAATAAACGAAAATCAGTTTTAATCTTAAGGACAGAACCTGTTAGGAACATACAGTATATTTATAAATACCAGCCCACTTCCGTGATTTGCCAATCGGTAAACTGCTATTAGAGGCAGAAATAAATCATTCGATACTGTATTCGTTACGCGGTAATGAATGTAAAGCGCATGAAGTGACTTGAAATCTAGTTTACTAATCTAAAATTTTCGATTCTACTAATCTTTAGTTTAATTTTGTAGCGAAAAACATATACACGCTAACACGCGGTAGTAAATACTATAGTAATCTGGTGCTACCAAGTACCAATTAGATTACTGTAGTTGCTGTGTATAGCGGAAAACATTCTATAGATACGATAATGAGCCATACGACCATTCGGTAGTAAATCTAAAAGGACATTGATTTTGATATTAGAAAGCCGATTGTTAATTCCACATTTCAAATATATTACACTCAGTCGCGTGCTGCCACAGGATGATTATAATTATGTGACATAAGTAGTTCAAATGTCGAAAAAAAGCATGCATTTTATTAAAATACTCAGTATCATAACGGTAATACCCATATACGACTCTTAATTTTATCCATCTATGTTTATGTCCCATGTAACCGCAGAACTCATTATATGGACTTATTAATTAACAGTATATCATACCTTTTTCCAAGATCCAAACACGCGATCTGCAGTGGACCGATTTCGTTGACGAACAAGGTTATATAGGCTACTCACTACATTATCGCTACAAATTCGTAAATGCGCCTCATTGACCATATGATTAGTTAAGGTTTATGAATTATGATCGTTTCATATCCGCCAAATTGCACTCTCGTCGTTTGGTCGCGATGCTCAAGCTTGGTTGTTACGTATCCATATCGAAAGCATCGAATTTTCATTTTCAAAGTTTGACATACTCTCGCTAATAGTTTATGGAAAAACATTGGACAAAAGGTTCTCTCCCGATTTATAGTCATATAGAGAAACATTACACAAATATAAACGTTTATTCATAATAATGACTAACCGTAACAATGGGTTTGAATATCAAACATGATAATTTTCAGTGCCAGAATTTAAGTATCTGATGAGTCATCGACATCGCGTTTTCAGCCAATTTATGTTTCACTCAGTCTCAGCCAAATATGTTTTTATAAAACGAAAACGAGTTTAAAGGTAATTGAGTTGCACGTTGAAACACAAAATAATAATGACTTTATATGTGTAATTGAAAAGTTTTCATCAATAAAAATTAACTTTTACTGTTGCTACTACCAAAAAAATTTTCATTGACATTGACAAACAGTATTGTAATGTGCGGCCAATATTATATACTGCTGCAATATGCTAAATAAAAACGGCAACACTTTTCTTAATAATATCGCAGTATTTCTTTTTCTCAAATTTTTGTCGACTCTGTTTTCCAAAGCCGTTGCGACGGGTTGCGTTAAGACTTGTTTAAGAGTTACCTGTCAAACAGAACTCAGTCTGTGAGGATTGGTCATACACTATCAGAAGCTCGTGCAATAACACATGGTGTGCCTCAAGGGCCAATGCTTGGTCTAGCGTTGCAGTTTAGTATTTATAAAAACGATCTTCCAACTACTCCTATTATGTGTCCTCGCCTTTAGAATCGCATCTAGATGACTCTAAAATTTACTCGTCATTCTCATACAAAGACATCAATATTGCTCAGCCATTCTCATACAAAGACATCAATATTTTTAATATTCAGCGCTTTTTCACATGAAAAGACTGGGACTAGGTGATTTGGGGACGGGGCGGAGGAAACAAGCCTAGAAGGCCAAGTGGATTTCCCAACAACAAGACCAAAACTGCCCTGAAACTGGCCTGATTGCAAGATGCCCAATTATTGCGTTCTCAAACAGAATTATTTGCAACTTAACGGCGAATTTAAACCGATACAGGTAAAATAAACTCATTTATAGTATAAACTTACTGTTTTTATTTGTATGCCCGTCTAGCTAGTTTTTTATCATAAAGTTCGAAGCAACACTATTATTTAATATGTTGACAAGGTGTATAGCGAACTCACAAAATGTGTCAAAATATATACCAAAAGTAAAATCTTTCATGAAATTTTGTCTTATACACAACTACATTATTATATATTTTCTCAATTTTGGCAAGAAGCAGTCTTGTGTTTGTAAAATATGCAAACACATATACAATAATAATTTATTAAATAAAGCGGATTAGCCGGCACAGTACTGTATATAAAAACGTACATTGTTTACAAATTGTATATCCGTAATATTTGAACAATAATTTTAAAATCCTCATATATTATTCAAAGCAAAACAGTAGATTGTCTTGCAAATAAAATAATTATTATTTTGTGCTTTCGCTTCACCTTCTCAACATAATAATAGTGTTGCTTCAAACTTTATGATAAAAACCCGATTTTCCAGACGTGTATACAAATAAAAATAGTAAGTTTATACTATAAATGAGTTTATTTTACCTGTATCGCTGTTAAGTTGCAAATAATTCTGTTTGAGAACGCAATAATTGGGCATTTCGCAATCAGGGCAGTTTCAGGGCAGTTTTGGCCTTGTTGTTGGGAAATCCACTAGGCCATCTATTTTTTCGCTTGCGTCAGGCTTGTGTCCTTCCTC